TATATCCGAATGATCGCCAGTAGCCAGATTTGGTGATTCTCCCTCAACTTTTGTATTATTTTCTTGATTTTTGTCATCTTGATAATTTTTATTTAGTGTATTTGGTTTTGTCAGGGGCTTGCGTACGAATCGAAGTTTATTTGTAGTTATATTTCTAATGTTTTTATTATTTTCATCTTTAAATGTAGATCTGCATTCTGTAGATGTGCTAGGTAAATTATGTTTAAGTTTTTGAACATTGACTAATTCTTTCATTGTGCCTTTTGAATAATAATTAATTTTGTTAATAATAGGTTTTTTGTTAGATGTTGATATTATTTTTATTTTATCTTGAAGGACTCGATGCTTGTGTTTTTTCTCCTGTAGATCAATACTCTTTTCTTTTTCCTTACTGTTTTTTCCCTTATGATGTTGGATGGTATTCGTTTCTGGTTTTTCGTTTCGTTTTTCTTTTTTTTTTAATGCTTTAAAAATAAATAAAAACTTTTTTCCGATTGTCCAGTCCAAAATCATGTGGTTATTTCCATCATTTCATTTCTTGCTCTGATTAATGGAGTCACATTCAATTCCTTCTGAGGTGAGCTATTTAAGTGAAAGTACCCTAAGGTAATCGACCCGGTCATGGACAGTGCACCAATCATGAACATATTACCATTAAATCGCCAATAACTACAAAATCTGACTATTTTTTTTTCAATGGTAACACTATATGAATGTGTTTATCCAATCCGGAGCCCAGAATTTTTTTTTTGACAGCTGTCGGCCATATTAACAAAATAAACTGAATACGAATACGTGGCTCCGACGATTTCAAAAAATATCCGATCTTTTAGTAAGCATCGTGGCGCAGGTAAGTTTAAAAATTAATTAATGTTAAAGCCGGTAAAGTTATTATGTTGAATGAGTCATTATTTTGTGATTTAATAGTATATTTAAGAATAGCCTACACCTTGATATATATCAAAATGGTTATAGTAATTAACAAATACAGCAATGTTCATCATTGGATAAATAAAAGTGTTACTTACCAGTCATGAACAATTTGGGAAATTTTTAATTTATTATTGCTAAATATTTAAGTAAGGTTTAATAATGTTAATAAAAAATCCTAACGATTGTTATTTTACGTAACACGGTGATGATTATTGAATTTAAAAAATGGCATGTTCATGATTGGGTGATCATAACTGGTGATGGTGTTGCTAATTGGGTGTCCATTACTGGCAACTATCAAACTATATGAATATTTTTTTTATTCATACGCTTTATTGTAGAAATGTTTTATTATAGATTTATAATGCGATTAGAATAACAATATAATTATCAAGGTGCTCTTTCGTAATTGTGCTTGACAATTTGACAGACCTAAGTAGAAGAATCAAGTAGCCATATGGAAGACCGAAAACTCAGGACATCATCTTAAAAAAGCTAATTTCAAAAAAATGTAAAAACTTTGGAATCAGAAATCACAAACATATTTTCGAAAGATAAATTGATATTATTTAACCAAATGTACTGGTCGCAAAGGACTGATGTCGAAAATCTACTGCCAAATGAAGATTTATCATTGTACGTTTTATGGTCAAAAAATAAAAACACACTTTTAGACAATTCATCAGTTGGAACACGTATAGATAAAAGAAATATTATATCGAATTCCAATACACAAATTGAAAAGTCAATTTCATATCCAGAATCAGAAGCTACTAATGAACCAAGACAGGTTTGTGATGAATAATCTATCCCTCAAGAACATGAAACACCGCATGAACTCCCAGAAGTTGTAAAGCTAACAGATAAAAAAGGTTTGATTCAAAATTACAATTCGCAAATAGAACAGTCAATTACAAGTCCACGATCAGAAGGCACTAATGAAACAAAACAGATTATTGTTGATGACCTCGATCCTAGAGCAAAATTACCACTAGAACTTGAAATTCCGCACGAACTTCCACAACAAAATGTTTTTCAACCAAGCCAACAAAACTTGAGCACTAACAGATCATCCGACGCTATAACCTAGCAGCCAGCTCACATGACACCGAGTAAAACTACCTCAACTTCTCATATCGCAAATAATCCCATCCCAGCAGACTATATCACACCCGCTAAAAACGTTCAAGCACCTATTAACCCATCAACATCTACCTTTCAAAAGAACTTCATTATTCCATCTCCATTCAAACGTGCCTTGTATTGGCCAGAACCTGAAATAAAAGAACGCTTACCGTCAGCTGTTACAAGCAATGCATGGATGGCCTACATGAAAAAAAAAGAAAATGAGAAAAGACAAAAGCAAGAAGTAAATGAGAAGCGAATAAAGGCTAGGGAAGAAAAAAAGGTGTTAAAAGAACAAGCTATTCAAAAGAAGATAATTAATATAGAGAAAACAAAAAACCGTAAGAAATCTACAAAGAAAATAGTAAAGCAGAGGCAAGTTACATCGAGTTCTTCTTCTGATGAACCGGGAACAGATATAGAATACCAGGAAAGTGAATGTGATGAAGAGTTCCTTGATGATTACCATGAAATAGAACTAAAAAATACCGCAAAATTATCAGTCTGATTCGGACGAAGACGTTCCGTTGAATGATTTGCGCTTCTCAAATAAAGGTTACAGAGTAAAACAGTATGTTATAGTGAGATGCGAAGGGTCGTATTTTCCTGGTGTAATTACAACAAAAATTTTTTGGAGATTAATTAAGTTTACTAATAAAAGAAATTGTTAAAATAATTAAAAGTTATTTGTTTATTTAAAGTTAAACTAACTTTACCTATTTACTAACTAACTGGTTCATTAAATAATGCCAACCATGTCCATGATTGGATGTCCATGTGCGGGGACGTCCATGACTGGGTGTTATGCACTGGGTGATGCCTGTCCATCACTAGTGTTCTAATAGGGCTTCAGTTTTTCACAAAAATATTTGTAATACAGTAAGTAATTAATAATTTTAATAAAGATAATGATTCTCCATTAGTTTTGTAGTATAATTGACCCTGACTGCATTTATAAACAGTTACAGTATTCAAAATATAGCCTCATAATAACAAATTTATTCTTATACTGTCCATGACTGGTGCGTTTACCTTAGATGTTTATTGTGCGTACATTCGACAGATTGATATAAGCATTCCTTCTCAGTGCAACTCAATTTGCGGACAGCTATTTTATTAGATTCCAAGGTCCATATTATCTGGTGCATTTTCATGCATCCAGTAAACTTTTTCACATTTTGGGGGAAAAGAAAGTCTTTTGAGTTCACATCATACTTATCTTCCATAAGTTTTAGGAAATCATCCAAACTTTTAATATCTTGGCCATAGCATACAGCACGATCAGCGGTACGTTTTAATTCAGCGCCAACGCCATCAGGAGCGCCCTTTCCATGGCCTGCTTCACTGTAATTCCACGTGATTGTTTTCACTGTATCCAAATAAATATGTAAGTTGACAATCACGTAAAATATTTTCTTGTTACGATATTGGTTGGATGGCGAATCAGAAATTAAGTGCAAAGTACGGAGGCCTATTTTTGTTTCAGCTAGATATTCAAGTATCGGTATAATGTGAGTCCACACAGCTGCAATATCATGGCGCAAACAATCACTTAAAGTACAAAATGATTGAACTTTTTGTTTGTTTTCGTCATTTAAATAGTATAGCATCCGTGTGTGTAAAGTGATTTGTTTCCGGCTGCCACCACAATGATATCACTGTACTTCTTGGTTACATTTTACAGCATAATTTTCGCTGTAATCAACATGAATAATGCACTCATTGTAATTTAAATTTTCTTTTAAAGTCTTAAAAGCTTTCTGCTGTGCTACAATGTTACCGCAATGAACTAAATACTCTCCAAGTGTTCTTTCCATTTTTTACAATGCACTTTAAAGGTTCTTCTTGGAGTTTAACCTTTTCAATAGTTCTAATTTTTTTTGGGTTTCACCCGATATCGGGACCCTAACTCTCTAACTGCGATTAGACTACCCAATTTACAGTGTACCCGATGGATCGGGCCCGATAGATTGGGTAGTGTAATAGGCGCCTAAGGCGCCTATCGGGTAATGTGATCGCTGTTAGCGTGTTAGAGCGCTCAGTCGGTTGTTGCGCAGCGTGCGTGTGAGACGTCAGTGAACTACAACGAAATTTGCGAACAGACAAAAATGTCTTTTCAAAAGGAAAAGAAATAATATTATATGTAATTTAATATTATTACTTTTTCTTATATTATATATCAATATGATTTAATGTTTAAAACATTTCTAGATAGCCTTTGCATGTGTCTGATACAATTATAAATTTTATATAAATTACAATAATAAAAACTAATGCTATAATAAACTTTATATTATTGTGCCCGATAGGGTCCATAGTGAGACTAACTTAATTATGTAATATTATTTTAAATTACCTATGGAAACAATAAACTTATTGAGTATTTACACTTTAAGTCATGATATGCATTTCCCGTTGCTAAAAATTTTAAGGTTACAGCACAGCTAACCGCATTTTTGCGCTATATAAGGTATGACTAAGTTTAATATATGATCAAATTGTGCAGAACTCATTCTGTAGTAGTTAAAACTGCAGAGTTGGTCATTTAGAAGCAAATATTTTTCACCCAACATTTTGTTTTATTATTTACGCCCGCAGTTAAAGTATGGGCCATGCCCATACTTTAACTGCGGGCTAAGTAGTTCAAACTGCATAGTTGGTCTCTTAGAAGCAAATATTTTTCACCCAACATTTTGTTTTATTATTTACGCCCGCAGTTAAAGTATGGGCTATGCCAATTTTTGGTACTTTGTGAGCGAAGGAGCCATCCTTTCAACGCCACGTTTGCATGCCAACTGAGTTAGGGAAGCGATCTAGTGCAGTGTAATCACAACGACACCAACCGCCCTAAATCGCGGCCGATATATCGTGCCCGATAGATTGGGTAGTGTAATAGGCGCCTAAGTACTTACTCTAAGACACCGTACCTGCATACAAAGAGTACACCACACACACAAATGTGACACAATTACAAATCACGATATTTCTTAATAGTCGAAGCAATTTTCAAGTTTCGTGCGTATTAGATTCGGTTCATTACCAATTATAGACGACATTTATTAAGAATTAACACATATTTGAAGTGCAGTTTAGCGCTACTAAGTATTTTGAACCTATGGCTGGATATTTTGAAGAAATGGGTTGGCGAGAGTTAGACGAAGGGGAACAACCCGATCATCTCCTGCATATGGCTCGGTTTTTGATGGATTTTGGAATGTATGAAGACAACTTTACTGGAGAATGGCCAAGGTAAGCGCAGTAAATAGTAGGCAAATCGTAATTTTCTCAACTTATTTTAAATCTTAATATTTGGCTGATAACTTCAAATGCGTACAATTTTATATTTTGTAATGATGGTTGTGGCATGAAATATTTAATAATATATAAAAATTAAACAGATTTATGAAGATCATAAGAGTATGATAAGTGAATCTTAAGTGTATGCTTAAGGGAATGATTCATGTCACATCAAAAGTTTTTAGTTTGTGTTTATAAAACAGCTTAAATCAAATTAAACTTTAATAGGTATTAAGAATAGCAAATGTTTTAATGAAAAATAATTATTTGGATCTGTAAATAAAAAAGTAACCATCAAGAAAGAAAAAAGGTTTACAAAAGATTCAGTACTGTTTCTGCATTTCTATAGATATGATTAGTAAAGTGGAAAAGTTTGAGTAACTTTCATATTGGGTAATTTGATATAGATGTCCTATGTACATATTATTTGTTTCTCAGATTACCACCTCCTGCTGCTAAAGAGGCTGTCAAGAACTTGAATGAAATTGTGATAGATAATGATACCACAAATTGCCCCATCTGTTTAAAGGCTTTCAATAGTGGCGACAAAGCAACAAAAATGCCTTGTAATCATGTGTTTCATCCGGCATGTATATTAACATGGTTAGATAAGGTAATGTTTTTCTATAATACTCATTTATTTCTGTATAGGTATAATTAATTAGAGTACATTTGATTAAATGTTTCCTAAATGTTATTAAATGTTTACATTTGATTAAAACTCCTTTATATCAATATTTTATTAGCTCTGACTATTTAAGCTTACTAATTAGCTTACATTCTAAAAATATGGTAAAGGAACTTATACCCTCAACTGTTACACAATATGTAAAATTTGTTAATTTCAACTGAGATCGGCATATCAGTAGTTAAGACGTAGCTGAAAAACAGGGGATTGATTACAAAACAGTTTTGGCGCATTTTAAAAAAGCTAGGCGCACAAAAATGTAGGATATTTGGGTACCTCACAAGCTGACTGAAAGCCACCTAATGAATTCTGTACTCATTTGTGATTCTTTATTACTGCATACATAATGAAACCAAACCATTTTTGAAGAAGCTGATAAATTGGATCACGTATGACAAGAATGTGCAAAAAAGATTGTGGTCAAAGGTCAGTCAGGCTTCACAGATTGTAGTGAAATACAGGTTAACTTGCAACAAGGTGATTGTAAGTTAACCCTTGTTTCGCCACAATTGGAAGGGCATAATTCATTATGAGCTGTTACCAGCAAGGCAGGATCATCTATTCTGAACTCTACTGCCAACTATTGATGAATTAAAGCAAGAAGTTGTGACAAAGCAGCCGGAATAAATCAATAGAAGGGGTGTAGTTGACACATTTTCATTTTCAAAGCCAAAATTAAGAGGGTTTATCTGGGAGGTGTTAATGCATCTGTTGTATAGTCCTGACCTTCCACTTTCAGATTTGCATCTATTTCGATCTTTTCAGAATTCTTTAGGTTAACATCACGCTAGGATTTCCAAAATCATTTGTCATTTTCATAGCAATGGCATCATGTCCCTGCCTACAAACTGGCAAAAATTTATTGAACAAAATGGTGCCTACATAATTTAGTTAAATGTAAACAAACTTTATTAAAAAATGTTTGGAATTTTCATATAAAATGCAAAGAAACTTTTCCCCAACCATTAGATTCTAACATATAAACTTTGTTGCAATTGAATATTAGATACGAGATGAGATAAGAGATAATTTTCATATAGTATACTCATTAATACTAATAATATTATGATTATAATTCTCTTTATAGGTTATTAACATAAGAAGTTTTATTTTTTTCAGACTAATTCCTGCCCCTTCTGTAGATATGAATTACCTACTGATAATGAAGGCTATGAAGCATTTAAGAAAGAAAAAAAGCGTGCTGTACAGAGGAAAGAAGATATAGACACACTCCATAATTCTATGTTTAGTTAACAAAGTTTATTCAGTTAAGTGCAACTCTACTACTTAGATATAGTTTACATTAGTCAAAAGCTGTAGGTCTGAAGGTGCACCCATTAGACCCCACTTCTGTTTGACATGGTTTTATTTTGGAAAAGATTTAAATCAAAACATACAGATGTGCCCTTATTACTTCATTCTGCTTTTGTTGTTGTTAGTAGTGTACATCTGATATAATAATAAAATAATTATCCAGTGTCATTTCTAGGTGCCCAAACAGTTTACAAAATTATAAATTAAATAAATATAATAAAATGTATTTTTAACTATGGAATACTTGAAGAAGGCTACTAGCCAATCGCATAACCGAAGTTACCTCTCCCGCCACTTACCCCACTGCTATTATTCTTAGGCGGTATCTGTTGGAGATTATCTGAATTTTACAAATAGGTCTAGTAGTTTTGGAGCCTATTCAATGTTAACAAACAATAAAATCATTCATCTTTATATTAATATGATTTTGTCAATAAGTTTCTTGGATGCATTTTACGATTTATAGTCTCTAGTTTTGGAAATTATTTTCTTTTGTGTCAATTTATATAGATTCTTGGTTGGTGCTCATTTTAGTGGATATTAACGTAAATTAATTATATTGTACAGTTAACAATACAATAAAGTGGTGGAATTTTAAATGATAAATATACTAAGTCATTGGTGTCGGTCAGGAATTAAGCTCCATTGAAACTCTTGGATTTATTAATCCGTTTACGAAATAGCAATAAAAATTAAGGAACATCGCCTAACGATGTCTAGTTTTTAACAGTACAAGGGACACAATGAGTAGATTTTATTTCAAATCCAAAAGGCTGGCGCTTCCGTATAAAAAAACCATGAATGGTCCAATATTTATAAAATTAATTTAATTTTTATTATACTGTAGGCATATTTCTGGGACTGACTCTTTAAACATGTTTTTAAAATTACCAATGGTGGTAGAAACTATTGCAAATTAAGTATTATATTCTATTTTAATTTTGTCAATACTAGTAAAAGACGGTAAATTATGTATAATTTCGATGTTAATAATTCTAAATTTTAAGGCATTAAGAATTTTATTGTAATAAAACACAACATTTTTGAATTTGGTATTATCATTTTAAAAACAACTACATACAAGCTGTTCCAAGTATTGAGTATACATTAAAATTTACACTCAGTACTTCGAACAGCTTGGAACGTAAACGTTGACTGACACTAGCGAGCGCAAAGTGAACGATTAAGAAATTTGTATGGAGTTTTGTTTTGCAGTTCTTGCTAACGCTAGGGACGCCCGAAAAACCGTTTTTGCCGCGCAATTCACCATCTTCCCTAACTTATTTTCTTAGATTTAATAATATAATCTTAAGTCTATTTTATCGCTGGGAGCAGTGGGATAGACAAAAAATCTTTGTTTTTGTTGTTTATCTATAATTAATTCATTTGTATGTAGTTATAATTTACTGTGCCCAGCAGTGGGGACGTTAAGGGTCCTATTATTTTTCAACTATGTGATGATTTTTACGTAAAATGGTCATTTTTGTATAACCTAACGTGCTGTTGACTGTACATAAGTAACGAAATTTGGCGCCTATGTATATTCACAAAAAGTTGCAGTTTTATATTTTATAGCTAGCTTTTTCCTCGAAAAAGTGCCGCACGTCACGCTACACACCACCGTGGGCAGACATCTGTTAGTAGGGAAGTTTTTTATGAGGCTCACTCGGTACCAAGTCCACAATGTATAGTCTGACGTGCAGCCGTGTGTACGTCATGTTTCTGAATAGGATATTATGAAATCTATTTTAAATCATTGTTTGATATGTATCAAACACACTGTTATTATATTTCATATGAATCTGTTCTATATTCGATGAAAACAATTGTTAAACTTTAAATAGCTAAAATCGCGCAAAAAGCGCTACATATTAGAGCAGTTGATCACGTGGTATTTGTGACGTCACATGCCGGTAAACATGTCAAATAGTATTACAGAAGAGAAAAGTTAAATTGTATGTTTTTTATTTGTATCTACTCTGGTTTCGTTTATAAAAAATAAGCTACAAATTGTATGTATAAATACAAATTTTGCGTAACTTTAATAACCGGTTTTGACATGACAGCTTACTGTTTATGTGTGACGTCACACGCTGGTAAACAGAACCTGTTATTGATTCCCATGACAACCTATTACAGGGTATTTTCGTCATTTATTTTAATTCCTGAATAACTCCAGGATGTTGGCAAAATTTCCGTGTATAACGGAACAAGTCCATATTAAAAAAAAGAGAAGGCTGGAGTTCACCGACTACTTAATCAGTTGATTAAAGACTTTTTTATTTTCACTACACACTAATCTATTGATGAGATCAACTTGGCCGATTAATTTAATCGAGCCCTACAACCCCGTTTAAACATTGATTATATTGACTTATGTAATTATTTGATGTCTATTGCTTGGCTAAGTTTAGTAAAGTATTTGAGAAAATGATTTACAATCAACTGCTTGCACACTTTTCATTAAATAAATTACGTCACCAAAATCAGTTTGGCTTTAGCAGAGGTAAATGTACAACAGACGCTGGAATTGCACTTCTGAGGCATATCTATGATGCTTGGGAGAATAAACAAGATGCTATTGGCATTTTTTGTGATCTATCAAAAGCATTCGACTGCGTTAGTCATGAAACACTGTTGGGGAAATTAGAACATTATGGTGTGACGAAAAATTCACTTCATCTAATAAGATCATATCTTTCTGCTAGAATTCAAAAGGTAGTAATCAATGAAGCGAAATCTGCAGGGGCACCAGTTACTATGGGCGTACCTCAGGGATCGATATTAGGACCATTGCTTTTTCTAATTTATATAAATGATCTTCCTCACTTTACGAAGAATTTGTGCGAGACAGTATTATTTGCAGATGACACCTCTTTACTGTTTAAAGTTGAGAGGGGTAAAGATTGTTTTGACGATGTAAATAATGCTCTCGACAATGTTCTATAGTGGTTTGATAATAATAATTTAAAGCTCAATTCAAATAAAACGAAATGCATAAAGTTTGCATTACCTAATGTGAGGCATGTCAGTACACTTATAAATGTAAATAGTGAAAAAGTTGAGTTAGTAGAATCGACAAAGTTCCTTGGTATTACACTAGATTCCCGACTGCAATGGGATCCTCATATTGATAGCTTGTCAAGTAGACTGAGTTCTGCAGCTTTTGCTGTTAAGAAAATTAGACTCTTGACAAATGTTGAAACGGCAAGATTGGTATATTTTAGTTATTTTCATAGTGTAATGACGTATGGTATATTGTTATGGGGTTCTGCGGCTAGCATTCAGGATGTTTTTATTTTACAAAAGAGAGCTGTCCGTGCTATATATAATTTACGGTCTAGGGAATCTCTCAGAGAACTATTTAAAGAAATAAATATTCTGACTGTTGCCTCTCAATACATCTATGAGAATATTATGTACACAAGAAAACATTACGATTCCTTCACAAAAAAAAGTAGTGTTCATAATCTTAACACAAGAAATAAAGATAAACTTGCCGTTCCAAGCTTCAGACTTCAAAAAACCAGAGGATCATTTCTGGGTAAATGTATTGCTATGTTCAATAAAGTTCCACAAAATGTAATTGACCTACCCATAAATAAATTTCAAATTCATGTAAAGAATATACTTATGAGTAAAGGCTATTATAAAGTTGATGATTACTTTAAGGATCGCAATGCATGGAATTAATAGCCCTCGCTTTGTTCTATAAAGACTAATTATATGTTCAACTTATGTCCTACAAACTTTGAAAGTTGTATTTACTATTGTGATAAATTGATAATACATATTATTTTGGTAATGACATGATTTATGTAAATGTCATTACTTATGATAAAAAGCTGATAAGTTTCTTTCGCTTGTTCTTCTTGTCAGCTAAAAGACGTCCTGAACACAAGTGGTAGGGGAAAAAAGTTTTTTTGGACGATTCAAAAGTGCTTGTAATAGCCTACTTGAATAAAGATATTTTCATTTCATTTCATTTCATTTCATTTTAATAGTTTAATTTTATATTGGAAATATATTAAATCATTATATTCTTTTTATATTGTACAGAAAAAAAATCTATTAGAAACACTCAACACTTCTGTTCACCACCAACACAACACCAATACCAATATAACCAAACAAAAAAATAATTCCTTGATAAAGTGCGAGTATATTTTGTCGCCGATTCCTAATTCTAATAATTCCGATAGGATAGGACTCATCATTTAAGAAATTGGACTTGGGTTTTTTTTCTTTCCCTTTTTAAAATAAACTATTATGATATGTTTTAATATAACAATGAGGAAGTAAAAAAAGCAAACTAAAAAAGCACCTCCACTAGATGGCGACTAGCAAAAGTTGATTTTTTCTGGAAACGAATGGACCAAAGACAGTCATTTCCGTTCCTTTTAACGAACATATAAAAAAACTGAAATTTGAAAAGTTCGAAACTTAGATATCATTACAAATACGAAAAAGTACAAATAGAATATGAGTTGTTTATTGCTTTGATAAGTTATACAGATGTTTATTGAGTTTTGAAAACTCATTTACTTTTAAACTTAAAAACAAAAAGCGGAAAGGTTGTCATGAAGAAATCAAGAACGTACCGTAGCGACATCTAGTTTGATTTCGGGAACTCCAGTAGTTTCAGAGCCCATTCAATGCAAACCAAATACAAACAAACACTCAAATTTTTCCTCTTCATAATATTAGTATAGGTAATACTTTATATAAATCGGTTTAAATCATATGGAATAAATACGCATTTTGAAAAACTTATTCCTAGATTCAAACTTAGTCGAAACCGCCGTGTTTTTGCCATTCAAAATTATTTTTAAAAATAATGACATTCGTCAAACTTAAATGTCCTGTTGAGTGTTTATAAACAAAATTGTTCGTGTAACTAACACAAAAATATTGATAAGTTGATAAATTTGGAAAAAAGTACATAATTTGTAAAAATGAATAAACGAAAAGCGTAAGTATGAGTCATTTATAATTACGATGAGACTATTGATTATTTAACACCGCTAGACATTCCGATCGACTCTTACAATTTTACTGACCACGTAGACATACTATTCGAACGAATTAACATTCTATTACTCCGAAAACGAAACTACGCCTATTTTCGAAATGCTGGCACTACTCCGAAGAAACGCATTTTTCAATAATTTATGACCTAATGTTGACAGAATCTGACCTGACACTGCTTCTGATACCTACGCAGGTAATCTTCACAGATATTCCCTATTTCCCTAAATTTCCCTAATTTTCGTTTGAGGATAAAAAGAATAGGCCTCCAGGTGTCATATTAATTCATACGAGTTATATGTAAAATCTCATAGTGGTTCGTTATATACTGATTTGTATTGACTTTTCAGCCCATGTAAATGTCCTCCAAGTCTGCGACACATGTGCAAGCATGTAAAAGTAACAGATTGTAGAGATGTTACAGACATTATAGCGGCTCTCACTTATGAGGCGGAAGGTAAAATTTAAGGCAGTATAATCGGTTATCTACTTACATTAAAATTCGGTATTGTTAATAACTAAAATATTGTTTTAATCGTACTGTTTTAGTCAGTAAAAAAACTAAGGAGTCGAAGCCTCCAAAATTTAAAACCAAACCTTTCAAACCTCGTCATTACAAAGATACTTGTGTTCCTATGGTGCCTTCAATGCATACGAGGTAAGAAATATTTTTTTTTATAATGTAAAACTTTTCTACGGTATATTTTTATTTTTGAGGGTCTTAATCGTAATTGAATAAGATCTTTTGACCTTCAATCAAACAGTGATGCAACAAGCAAACTATCTTCTCTTGTTTACACACAGTTGATCGACACATTTACCTCTCTCATTCTCACTTTGTTTATATTATAATTATATGTAATCGGATCTTGTTCGTGCATTTTTTTAAACTATTAATTTACCTCGACGTTTCGGCTACGTTACAGCAGCCGTGGTCACGAGGAGACTGGAGAACTGGCGGGTGTCGTTTTCTGATTTTAGTTGATCCGGTAATAATGTTTTTGACATATTTTCAGATGTACCTACCCTACACTTGATTTTATTGTACGTAAAGGTGGCAACACACTGCACTTACGGTATCCGAGAATATTGTTCGTAGTTGTTTGCGATCGCGACACTTACACATTTTTATAACCGGATTCCACGTTGGCGAGAGTTTATATTCACTTTCCCGGTTGAAATTGTTGTGTTTTTTTATTTCAACCGCTTCATGAACAATCCTTGGATAGTAATGTCGTTCAGTGGAAAGGACATGAGGTGTATGTAACTCGATCCAGTGGTTTGATCCAGATGATAATAAGTGCTCTGCAATCGCGAACTTCTCCACTTAACGATTTTTGACCGTTGCTATGTGTTCTCTTACACGTTCGGCGATAGTCCGCTTCGTTTGTCCGATATATGAACTACCGCAGCTGCAGTCAATTTTATAAACGCCAGGTTTTTGGTAAGGAATACTATCCTTTGGTGATCGCAAATGATGTGACATTTTTGATAAAGGAGTAAAAATGGTGTCTATAGAAAAAAAATCCTCAAAATGGAACCAATTTTGTCCGTTACCCCCTTAACATAGCCTAAAAATGCCCGTAAATTAATAGTTTAAAAAAATGCACGAGCAAGACCCGATTACATATAGTTATAATGTATACAAATCGTGTGAGTTTAAAAATATCACTTTGTATATGTTTACGTAACATGAACCAAATGAAACCCGTTCGTACTGGATCGCTCGCGCCGCTAACCCGGGACCAGTGGCAGACCAACCTCATCGGAGGCAATAAGCCCGGATCGACAATTTTACCAACCGGGGCAGAAACTTGATATTGCGTTATATCTATTTGTCATACATTTTGAATTTTATTATATTATTATGATTTTGGGGGATGGCTGCACCCGAATTCTACTCCACTCAGGTATCCTAATTCAATTCAAAAAACGGCATCCGCCCAAACTTTAATCTATCTATATATATAAAAATGAATCGCAAAATGTGTTGGTAAGCGCATAACTCAACAACGCCTCGACCAATTTGGCCAAATCTTTTTTTAAAATGTTCGTTGAAGTTCAAGGATGGTTTTTACGGCGAGAAAAATTAGAATTATTGCTGGAAAAACCCTAAAAATAGCCCTTTTCTTTTTCCCATACAAATGATTTGTAACTAAAACGTAGTCAATTTGAGCTTTATTGCTATGGTATAAAGTTCATATTAAATTACAAGCACTCACTGTTGTCTAAGCAATGTAGGTGTGTTCCTAACGTCAAAGATCATATCTATCACAAAACAATGTGCGTGTGTGCGTTGGAGCACAGAATACATAGTTGGAGGAGTTTAATGTCGCGTTCCGAAACTCGCGTTTCTTTTGTATTAGTTTCGGCACGCGAGATAAAATGCATCAGTTTCCACGTCATTACATGTATTGCCGGAACATTGATGAAAATACGCTCTGTAGTAGCAAAGCTGTTGGGTCCTAGATAGCTCATTGGTTAGAGCAGTCCCTGGATCGCGAATGGGTTCGAGTCCCATTCCGGGGTACAGGTAGATGGATTCTTCCAGCATTTTTCCTTGAGAATGTTTATATATTTTTTTAATTCGAATAGTTTACTTTTATAATGCTGTTGTGTGTAATGTGTTTTTATGATCATAAAAATCTCTTTTTTCTATATTTAATACTATTACTATTAATACATTGCAATAATAATTATGATTCACATGATTAACAATAAAGCGATTACTTACTTTTAAATCCTTATATATGTTTTATTTAATTATTTTTTATTCACAACGCCCTATCACCAGGGTGACAGTTCTGTTCAGGAGAATTTTTTTAAATACGTAGGCAAAAAAACTGCCACATTACAAATCTTTTTGACAGGATGAAGTCTGTCGGGTCAGCTAGTTGCTAATAAAGTTTCGTAGCATACCTAAGTAAAGTGAATTTGGAAATGACATAGGAATAGAAATACCGAGACACGTATATTTTTTTGTTTAAAAAATACAAAATAAACAAAATGAAATTTATAGAATTTCTACACTCAATGACGTGAATTCGAATCCGCTTTACATTTTTATTCGAAACACTATTACTTATCTGTAAAACAACACATTTCCAGATTGCGATATATTGGTCACTGTGCAGTAGAGCCACCAATTTCATCAGATGAAAGATCAAGGTTAGTTACAAGAATCAAATACAAACACTAAATATAATATGCTAATGCCGTCTGATGATTATCATCATCATCATCGGCCTACTAATGTTCCCACTACTGGGGTACAGGCATTCCCATTAGGGAATGGTGGCCCACCACGCTGGCCCATTGCGGGTCGATGACGATAACTGCAGATGCAGCTGTGAGACGGCTTGGCCTGCCTTTCGAAGCGCAGAGGAACATTAGATAATAAATTTTTGGTACCCATCATATGATCGGACCTTACAAAACCTCGACATCACAAACCGAATACGCTAATCACTGCGAAATCGGGTCTTGTTTTTGAGGAAATAACCTGGTTTTTGTGTTCTGAGATATCCTGTATTTTTTATGCAGCGGCCTGGGTTTTTGAGGAGCCCTATTAAGGTGACATTAAGTGAAATTTTCAGGTCAACTCACTTACTCTCATCTTTTTAAAGGAAAACTTACAACAAGTTTGACTTTGATTCAACGTCCGACGAATCTACAAGTGGTATTTTGAGGCGTAGGAAAAAGAAGAAAGAAAAATTCAAAAAGAAAGTAACTTATTTCGACATGCTACCTGGCGATATTATGTTGCCAACGCCTGTTCCAGTTATCAAACACTCACCATCTGACAAGTCTATACTAAACGTTAGTAATGTATTAAGTATTATCAAAGAAAATAACTATTTAGTCTTGTTATTGTTAGATGTGCACGGTGCCTTATAGACCCGGCGGCATAGCTAGCAAGTGTTAAGATTGGACACCACTAGGACTGCCAGTGGTGCTAAAGCGAGAGCTTAATCTTAGTTTCGAAAAAAAAAAAGTTCTGCTGTTTGTATTTCAAACATTAAATAAGAAAGAGGTATCCTATTCATTCAAATACTGAATACAAATACAAAGACAAATTTGTATTTCGAATAACTAATTAAAAAATATAGGTATATATATATTTGTATTTAAATACTTTTAACCATTTTATACATCTCTGTAAATAAAAAATGTCGATGACTAAATGTGATTTCAGTAATATTTCTATAAATAATATTTTAATTTAATTCTGTTACGGATTAGGTGCCCAGTCCGAAAATAAGTGGTGAAATCATTCAAGCTAAAAGGGCAAGTGTGAAGCCAGTGGAGATGGTGCCACCGCTGCCACCCAAAGCAGCGGACCAGTAAGATGATCTACGTTGATTTAATGTATTTTTTAAATATTTGTATTGGCTTACGTAATTTTCTAGCATATGTAACAACATTCTATGATTAATTGTTGCATATAACCGTTTCAGTCGTGCTACTTTAGCGTCTTATCTTGATTAGAGGACTTAGGTATCCATTTGACAGCCACGCGTATCACTGTAGTCGCGCGACTAAAAAGTTTAAATGTGAGTACGCTCTTAGAACTTCTTTAAGCTGACTGCCAATGTGTAGCATTGGCAGTAAGAACAGAAGAAGAATAGATAAGGGGTACGCTTACTGCTGCGGTTTTCTATGTTATGTGGGTTGGTACATTCACTGTGTACAGGGGCGGATAATGAATTTGTAGGGCCCTGTGTTTATACTACCTTTTAACCATTGAAGTAAATGTAATTTTTTTAGAAACTGTTTTTATTGGTACATAAAGTAAAAATTATGTATCGTATCGTCTATTGATTTTATTGGGGTCCTTTGTATTCACGGGGCCCTGAGCTGAAATTCGTCAAGCTCTAAGGTAGATCCACCTCTGATTTGTAAGATTGTAAATGATGATTTGAAGTGAACATAATTGTGTTAGGAACCGCCCAGAGTCGTGATCTGAACTGATCTTAATATAGAACTGTTGCTTTTTCATGTGCGACGTTGCTGTACCTACATAAACCCCTTCCGCTGAACAATGTGCAAGTAATAGTGAAGACTATGTCTTTCTTTGATGAAGCCATTACACTTATCACATAGGCACTTTAGTACCCGATTTTAAAAAGAATGGTCTCATTTACTTTGTATTTATTTATTTTTTCAGGCTTTATAAACCGCACAGTGGTATAGTTATCAACAGAGATAAAGATTATGTCCCTGATGTTGTCCATATGCCAGGACCGAAGATTCTAGGGTAGGTATATACGTGCGACTTTTTTGACTCGCCTTAGGGTCGATATTGACGGCAGATGTGTCGTATTTCCTCGGTAGCGGAACGTCAGATAGAACTGAGTCCTTATTCGCTATGACCATTTATCGATTCTTTACTTCCAAACCACTTCAATGTCATACTAAGATAAACAATTGGTAGATACTGTGTAGGACAAAATTTATTTATTACAAATATTCAATAAATCAGTAAATATGGATAATTAGACCAAAAAGCGGTCCTAAACGACGTGTATATTTTAAAATTACAGGAAAAAAGAAAAGAAAAGGTCATGCCACAAAGGAGGGTAAATATCGTTTTAAAGAAAAAAACAAATAGCTTAGTTGGAAAGGCATTAATGCTTATTGATCGTTAAGGTAGAGTAAGTTCCAACTAATATGGTTTATGGTGAATCTTCTCTTGCTCTACTAGTAGAGTACGAGCAGATCTACCAATTTTGACTATGATTGAAAATATAAAATTTATAGTGGGTCTTGTTGTAATTGCCTTAAGGTGTTAAATACAACGCATTAAATGTTAGTCTCACTCACACTTAACGGGGTCAAGTACATGGATTGGCTTGTGGCGTGATAGGAATTTGCATTATTCTGATTGGCTGATATTTGGCGCGCTTTGAAATTTAGCTTTCGGCGCAAGGTACAAATACATACGGCTACAAATCAGGTTACCTCAATATGTCTAAGGAGAATCCCTTTTTTTTGTATGGGGATTCAAATTTACTCACAACGGTTCAACTTTATTTAATTTTGCCCAATCATCAAGGTTTTATCATAATTTAATCAGTGGTATCTTAATGTAAGTTTTGGAAATATTTCAATGCTATCTGACTTAACATACAGACGTTCATCAAATAAATAACAGATATAATATAAGAACAAATATAATATTATACTTATTTTATCAAATGCTGTTTCCAGATGTGCTTTTACAATATTGAGTATATATGAATAAATTTACAAGACCCTCTTGCTTTATTTTCAGTGTTTGCTTAAGAAAGACTTGCACTAGAAAGAAATGCAGGTTAGTATTATTTGTAATTAAATTGAAACGTGTTGAGTATTAAGCTATCTGACAGTTTCAGTAAAGTTAAGTATAATATGTCTTACAGACGGTACGCGGCAATGAGAAAACGCCGAATGGCTCGAAAAATGAAGAAGTAAGTGGCTTATAAAAATAATATAGCTCTTTAAGTAAGATTCGGATTAATGCTTAAAATGAAATAATTTTTTTATCGATAGCGCTGATTCAGAAAGCCAGTTTACCACATTAGGTGTTACCGATGGAAAACCAAGAGCGAGAAATATCCAAAAACGTGTAAAGGATGATGACTCCGTGTGTGGTCTCGATGAAATACCGAGACCGGAACATGTTAGTACTGAAAAGTTTTGTTTATTTACATTTATTTAGCATTTCTTATCTTCTTAGTAACGGTTACTTTCTTAAAGGTCCAAATACCAGCAAACCTAAAACGAGGGACCCTCCAAACGCATTCACTGACAGTGTTGCCTTGTACGAAGGAGAGGAAACCTGACGTTCATTACGGTATCCTTACGGGATCCTTTAATATGTATGACGCGAAATTTGGTGAGTTGTTATTATCTGAATTAGATTCGCTACTCTATAGTGGAGCTTTCTTAGATACACGTCTGTTTAGAGCCTCAGATATACTTAACCAATATAAAATATTATGCATTTAATATTAGCGACAAAGATTGTACCGATAAAAATTATTCAAAACATTATTTAATGCTGCGTAAACAGTTTAAATTACTTATTTAATAATGGATTTGGAAAAAGATGACATGGAATATAATTAAGATGACTAAGTGAATTGTAAACAATGGATACAATGGTAGCGATTTAATGCCCTATATGAACTTCCACTCCCATTTTCATCTCCTTATGTGCTTTTTTTCGGAACAAAATTTAAGATAGATAAGATCAGCTCACGCAGACTTTTTCTTAGAATTATTAAAGAGGATCAATTTCGTTATACACGATTTTTGTGTAACTTTTACCGTTTACGCAGCACACGTATGGAAAGCTTTAAAAAAGTAAAATATTCTCCCGTTTTTGTAACCTTCCTCGATAAGTGGACTATTCAACACAAAAACAATGATTCAATTCGTTCCTGTAGTTTCTGTGATAGTATGGATCAATGAAACAAGCAAACTCTTCGGTTTTATTATTATTATTAGTATAGATAGTAGATAAAAGACTAATTTATATTTTTAATGAAAAATGTTTAAAATATCCATTTTGTACCTGGCACTCTGTGATGGGATACGAAACCACGAAATTTCGCAATCCGGGTGACTGCTTTAACCACTGAGCTACCCAGGACCCAATAGGAATGTCGAATTTTTCAAACACTTGTTAGTTTTTCGTTACTACAGAGCTTATTTTCACAATTTTCAGGAAATCCACCCAAACAAAAAAAAAAGTTGTTTACAAATATATAAACTTTCGATAAAGATGATCTAATTATTATATTTGATCAATATTGCATTTACAATGCTACACCGAAAAATATTCTAAAAGAAAAAAGTTTCAGAAAAAATACTAATTTGTACCCACTTTAATTTCCATGTTTATTTGTAGGCGGTAGGTCTAAGGGAAGACAAGCTCTTACCATGAGCGTTATGGCTTATTGTTTGGCGTTCCATTACCATCCCAAGCAGTGGACCATGAAACTTATTGACAATTTGGTCGATGCTGGAGATCAATGGTAATTAATTATATAAGTTACATTTCTATTGAGTACATTATGGGATGACCGATCTCTTTTTTTATAGGTATATGCAATGTTTAGAAAAGGTTCACGATCATTCTGCCGTCCAAGGAATATGTGAAGTATTGCCATTTGGCAAAAAACAAACACTCGTTTTGAACGGAAAACGTATGCAAGTGTTGCTGGGCGAGCCAGATATAGTCGGATATACTATGTCCTTGGACCCAACCGTATATAACCTTTGTAGGGGATTGAAAGCATTTTTCAGAGATAATCGCGCTGGAGTTTTGATGACCAGGTAAGGCTTATTACTTAGACGCTTCATATTGTTTGTCAAACTCTTACTAAATTGGTTACAATTACAGGGTGCTGAAAGTAGTGATTTGGAAGGATAAAATTTGTTTCTATATATTCGATCCAGCTGGCAGAGATTCTAGAGCTTACTCGAATTTCGCTAACGGCTGTGCTGCTCTCATAAACGTCAAAGACGTCGATTCCATTGCCGATATTTTACTAGCACGTAGTATTGTGGAGGATCAAAAATTTGTTTTGGCATCTGTAAAAGTATTGAAAATGATCGACGAGAAATGTGACGAAGATATAGAGTCCGATAGAGAGTTAACACAAGCTGAAAAGGCAATGATGGGCTATAGAATTTTAAATGAGAACTGTGCCATTGTAAACGCAAATATGCATTTGGGAGATAGATGTTTTGAAGATGCAAAATATCGCCAAGCTTTAACAATTGCTGTTGCAGCTATGACTTATGCGAAAATATCACCTCCTAACACCTGGTTCACTAAAACGTTGGATAAAATTTTACGTTTGGGTAACAAACTTTATGTTGACTGTACACACCCTAAAGTTATGATAGACCTAACTATTGACAATATACCTAATGAAATTATCATAGGTCCGTATGCCTGTGAAATCATTATATACAGGGAAAGAGTGAAAGGACAGCTCTTCACTACCAAAGAATGTCTATTCAATATTAGAACTGGCTTAGAAGAATTTTTCAGTCACGAGTATAACAATGGTATATTAGAGTTTAATAATTACGCTATCGCGTTGTGGAGACAAAAAGATATGTTTTATATGTTTGATCCTTATCCACGCACTAACGATGGTCGAAGATCTGTTAAAGTTGGAAGAGCTTGTTGCATGATGCTACTTAATTCCGATACCATTGTCGATGTTTTTACTAAGAATTGGGATTACCTGCCGGCTTCAACTCAGTTTTATATACATGCATTCAAAGTATTGAAATTAAAGAAAAAGGAACTTAAGGTGACAAAAACACATTATATATATATATCGCAGTGAACTGGTGACAGACTGACGTTCCCAAATTTCTTTGCGTGGATCAGCTGAGTAACTGAGCACTACAATTCTATATAGTACGTCTGTACGACGCTCATCCCAATTGGTTAACAGTTTGATGTTAACCAGTTGGCTGCGACATATATAAAAGTATTATCTTATATAATATTATCTACGTCCGCGAACTTATATAAAGAATATTTTTAAACAAAATATTTTAGTTATAAAGTGGTTAGTAAGTTTGTTAGATCTTATGTATGTGTGTTTGTAACCCTTTAACGCAAAAACTACCCAACAAAGGGTTTTAATGAATAATAACCTGGATTAGCATAATAGGGCTTCTAATGATACTTCTCTTTATCCCGCTTAAAAGCTCCACAGGGATTAAAGAGGTCTAGGGAACTGGTTAATAATAAATAGTTTATCAGTAAAGTTATTTCCATTTTACAATTAAAGAGAAATTTATTAATATTTCTACGTTTCGTTACTTCTAAATTAAATTCTACGTTTTGCAGACGCAAATAGTATGTACTCTTAGTGACGAACAACTTCCTGGTTATAAAAAAGCGAAAAGAAAAGTGCTTTCTTTAAGCCAAGGACATGGGGATGGAAAAGAAATATTTCACGATGTTTTGCCGATGGATATCCTGGAAGATAAACCTATGGGCGTAAGCATTTTTTACTTTTCAATAATTTAATATTACATTCTCAAGTGGTTTATTGTGATTGTAAGCGTTTTACATAAGTAACTGCAATCTTTTTACAGCCGCAGGTAGATGAAGAGCAAATGGGTGACATTATATCGTTAGTAGATAGTATACAAGAGGATTACTTACCACCTATTCCTTTGAGATACAAAAACATGGCACCGGAACCGTTAGAACCAAAAATTGGTAATAGAGAACATTATTAATAGTTCCTATAGATTTAACTGAAACTAGTTAAGGTTTGAAGAATTCATTCTTAAAGAAGATGTATATCTCTACATGAGAACATTACAATGAAACTATTTTTGGTGGCACTATTCCTTCTTTTTTATTACTTATTTACTGGTTAGCGATAATACTGATCTAGTTTATTCTTGAATACGTTAAACGCTTATTAATTATATTAATAGTTTATTTATGGATTTGGAACGACTGTTGTTGACAAATTCAAAGATGGAATGGTGGGATAAACTACAAAAATATACAGTGTTTCTTATTAACGTCTATATCAGTGACGTCTCAACTATATTAGAGTTGTAGGCATGTCCATAACGGTAGAACAGCCCTTGGTCTTTACGCTGTAATATTTACTTATACTGGTCAAAAATCTTGTCTATTAGGCTTATTTGTTTCTTTAGTAAATTTGGATTCACCGACTGTGTCGGTGACACAAGTGGTACCGCCGTGGCCGAAGCCACGTGATAAAACCAACGAGCCCCCTGAGCCCGACCCGGATCCCGAACCGACTCCTCCCCCTACACCCCCGCCATTGCCGGTATGCAATAAATATGATCTCAGGGTAGGAAGTAGTACATTATGTTGTAAAATTATTTTATCTGTACTTCCTTTGGCATTAGCTAGCTAAGATGACATATTTCAGTAATAAGTGGTATGTTTTCGAAGTGACTTCAATTTTTAAATTCATTAAATTAATTATCACATAATCTTAACTAAACTTTAATGTTATTGTCTTTAGTGTTATATATCTTTAGTTAGGATCCATATGGATGGTGCTGCTTTTTGATGTTTGTTGCTACACATTCGTCGTATTAAGGACTCTGTGGACCGTTATATATGATATAATCTACCACAGGACCACCAGTTAGAATAGTTAACACCTCAAATGCATATATATCGCTTGTATTCCTATATTTGTTATCCCCAAACAAAAGTTTCTAATAATATATATTTATTTTACAGCCTCCAGAGGGTGGGGAGGAAGAGGTTAGTTTTATTTTTAACTACTTTGTTTTTATATGATTACGCATGTTATTACATTCATAGCTGCACAAATAAAAAGTATAGTTATTTACTTTTTATTCCCTTTTCTGGCGATACTTTCACTTACACTTGGCTGAATTATTTTTTACTATAAATAATCTAACTTAATGAGAAAAATAAGTAGTTTGCAAGAAAAAATATTAAAAAATCTCTGGTAGGTTGGGGTAGTTCTTATATGAAATCTATTCAACATCAGGAAGAAGAAGTTGAAGAAGAAGAGGATGAAGAAACAATGAAGAAAAAAAAAGAAGAGGAAGAACGAAGAAAAGCTGAGGAAGAGGAGGCGCGGCGAAAAGCTGAGGAACTACCGCCGCCGTTGCCGCCGCCACCGCCATCGCCACAAGGAGAGCCCGAAGTACCCGTGAGTATAATTTGATACAGTTTCATATTCTGATGTGGATGTGTTGCAATAACTCCTACTGTCAGGTCATGTTGAATTACTTGGACTTGAAACGAGGAAGTATTTTAAGAAAAAAAAAAAGAAAGCACTAAAAAAGCACCTCACTAGACGGCAACTCTAGCAAAAGTTCATTTTTGCAGGAAACGAATAGACCAAAAAATAGTGATTTCCGTTCATTTTAACTAGCATATAAAAAAAATGAAATTTGCAAAGTTCGAAACTTAGATTTGAAAGTCAAAATTCTGAAGGGATTTTATTTATTATTTTTTTCTGTCAAGTTAAAGTATCAAAACTCTACAGATATAAAATGTTCATTTTGTACAGCTTGCTCCTCCAACGAAGCCGATGGAAGATGAAGTTCAGACAATGGAGCCTGTCAATGTAGATCGACGTATATTACTCACAGAAGATGCAAAGTTTAGATTTAAACTGAGACAGTTACGTAAAAAATTTACACCGCCTCTAATGGAAGCCCAAATGGATCAAACGCCGTCTCAGGAACGTTTACAACCGAGTAATTTCAAGAATTTACCGGACAATACAGAAATTATAAGAGGAACCGCAAACGGCATATCCGATGAAAAAGGCTTGGAAGTACTTCCATTTGCTGCTATTATGGCAATAGTGACTTCGTATAAATACTCTATAAACACATGGACGCCTGGCATCGTCAATTTTGTAGTAGATACAGCAAATAAATTATACAATAAAAAGAAAGAAAAGTTCCAATTAGCTCCCGTTCATATTATACCGAAAATCGCTATCGGGCATCAGGTAAGATCATGCTACTTTATTAATTTGGAGATTTTAAGAAAAAAGAAATGGTCGATCCCACATAGATTTCTTCGATCACGTTGTCAAGTCAACTGGAGATCCGTAAACAGTTACCATACTGTCAAAACTAATAACATTAATTTTGTATTTAGGATACCATAATATGTCGAATTGGTCCATTTGTTTTTAAAGTCTATCTTCAAACATTAAAGTGGGGGAAATTTGTATAACATAACTTGTTGTATACTCTATATATTTATGTTTATCATATCTCTCAATTAAGCTGAATCTTTATATTAAGGTTTAGTTAGACGACAATTCATATAAGTCTCTTATGGCGGATGGCCCATGATGGCGACCTAGTTATTTTTTGAACAAATTTTCTAAGAATAATACGAAAATGATAAAATGACTTCATTCCAAATCCAATATAGCGGACCACTCAAGATGGCACTATTTATCTTTCAACACTCATAATATGGGTATCAAATGCAAGGGTTCGCTGAAAACATTATCATTTATATAAAACCTTATAGCTATTATTTTTCGAAAAAGAAAATCCTTTCAGTCATAAATAGACTCATCTGATATATTTCAGGCATATCAAGCTAACATTGATGTGGTGGGTGAAGGTGCTACTTGGCAATTAGAGGATGTGTTAACAAATAAATACTTGTTGAAATACGATCGCGGAATGATTACAACATCCAACTATAGTTGTGCATTTTTCAAAAGGAATGGATTGTATTATCTATACGATGGAAGCACTTGCAATGCCATGGGTTTGAGGGATAGTAAAGGCAAAGGACATGCATGTTTATTGCGATTTAACTACCTACATGATCTCGTGACGAGGTAAATAAGAAGTAGTTTTATTTTTAATAACATGAGGATTTTCGACAGTCAATATCAACAATCCTATTACTTATTATTCAATATTGGTCTTTATACAGAGAGAGTAATACTTAATAATCTAATATGTACTTTGTGAACGCCTTATCGTTAATAGGAAACGATAATATGGTACCTACTTGTCATATGATAGATATACCTAAAGGATCCTTCTCCCATATTTAAAATTATAATATTTGTACTAGAAATAAACATAAACTTTTTCATTGCAAATATTAGGTAAATGTAGCTCTTAATGTTTATTACGCTGTTCTGTTACTATCGATTATGATCCAGCACTAAAGTGTACCATCTTCATAATACTTGTTTTATTTCAGAATTTTGTTTAATAAAGACGGTAAAACAGAAGATCAGCAGTTTATTTTGAGCAAAATATTGGTGAGAAGACTTTTGACCGAACCTCGTATGAAGTTACCCGAAGATTATAATTATGAAACTGGAAGGCCTAAATCCACGAAATCAAAACCAACATTTGTGTCTCCGCCAAAGTCAGACAAAAAAAGCAGTATTGATGAAGCAGCTAAGAAAAGTCAAACGTTAGTTGGCTATCAACAGATGGATGGAGGATATAGATTGGAAGGTACAACTTCTCTCAAAGATGCTAAGATTCCAAGTTCAGACGTCAAAGCCTGTCATTTTGTTAGTTTAATAGCAATGTTGATGGCTGCAATGCATCCTATAAGAACATGGGATCATGTGATGGTAGATACCTGCATAGAGAAAGGTCTAGAAATCGTTGAAAAAGCCACGAATTTGAATGTTTGTGAAAAGAGAGTAATCAAAAATATAATTTTGGATGGTAAATTTATAAATGTTAACATCAAAAAACTTATTGTTGTAAATGAAAACCCTGAGAAAAAACTAGAACAGTTTCTGGATGCGGTATTACGAAGACTTCGTTACGTATTAGTTAGATTTCCAACTTGCAGCATGGTGATATGTCAAACAGAAGGATATTATCACCTTTTTGATCCGTACGCGTCAGCGATATCTGAAGAACCTGCTAGGAAAGATAGTGAAATAAAAACTAAAGAATCCAGCCCCAAACTAAAAGCCAACAAAGTAGCGTCGTGGACACTCTACAGATCCATGGATGCGTTAATCCATCGACTAAAGAAGTTGATTCCGTCATGCTCAGTGAATAAACCCGAATTTTATACCTTTGAGTTGACTTCGGTGAAAACTGCACCACGGCATTCAGCGATGAACTACAGAGTAAGTCCACTATTTAAACCAGACCCAAATCCTAATTTACCTTATTTGAAGCGCAGAAAAATTCGCCCTACCGTCGACGAAAAAATGTATTGGCTTAATATTGAAACTATACCCTGGTCGCGAATGAATCCTGTCAATGATTTAGGGTTTGAAAGAAAAACTCCACGCACGCTGTGGAAAGAATGGGATATCGAATTCCCTGGAGATCTTTTCTCTCTGTGGGGAACTTTACATCCGATGGATTCCAAATTTAACCCGGATCATCGTGGGAAACAATATCTAGCTACAAACGTCGTAGCCATAGTTATGGTTGAAGCTTGTGATTTAAGTGCGTGGAGTAGTAGTTTCCTTGATGGAATAGTCGAAAATGGAGATAAATATCACAAAAAGTGTCAAGATAAATTAGCCTCGAAACCTAATCACGAAATAACGTTAGAAGATTTAGATTCTAAATTTGATGAAATGTACCCTTATTCATTTTCTGTCAAGTTTGAAAAAGTTATATTTGGATTCGTTTATAACATATTTCCCGATCGTTTCAATTTGAGTAAAGCTTTGATTTATTTCTTTGAAAAACATAAATTTGGAATCTTGACAAGTCCGTCAAAAAATTTAGCTTTTGGAAAATATGATTCATCATTTTTCATGTTCGATTGCCAGAGTTATGGGGCACCAATATTTTCTCCGGGGCAAGGGGCATCCTATATTTTAAAATGTGAAAGCCTTAACAGACTTATTTACTGTATGACGTTGACACTAAATATAAGAAGACACGGTCAGCAGTTTCATTTATATAGTGTGACTGTATCACTCACGGAAAAATCAAAATAAATCTTTATAATCGTTAAAGTCTTGTTATTTTTCATAATGCATACTAACTTATTGGAGCAGTAATACTAAGTTACGACACCAAACAAATACATCTATTTAGACTATAGTTCATATGTATCTGTGTTTAATACATACTAAGTAAAACGACGCTCAGTGTTGTCCTAAAATGGCTCGTGGCTATGGTCGTAAAATGGCTCATGGCTATGTATGAGTGTTCTATGCCAAAAAACCGCAATGCCAAACTGACTTGAAAAAAGTGAAAATAATATTTTCTTTTACCACCACCAACAACCTTTCTAGGTTAAAAAACAAGCCTTTTTAACACCCGGGGCAAGTGCCCCTACTTGCTCCCCCAAATCCCTCTAGATCTGACCCTGCTCCTCCTTATTTCATCAATCAATAAAAAAAAATCAATATCAATTTTCCGTGATTCGTACTTAAGACTATATATTCGTACTCGTACAATTCGTACTTAATTAAAAAGAAACTCAAAAAAATAATTTAAAGCTCTATTCTTCTTTTTCACTGCGCACTGCCAAGGAGTGAAACTCCATGCCGGCATCTATATTCCCGAGTGCATAGGTATAAGTCAGACCTATTTAAGGCAAAATTGAATAGGTTCCTTCTGGCCAAGGTAGTCCCATCTTAGATCTTATTTATGTCCTTGAGCTAGATTGAGATCAAGAGTGAGCCCATTAAAAATAAAAAAAATAGTATGTTCGACAAATTTCTGTCAGTGAAGATGTTTGAATTTTAGCGCATAGTTTATCAAGTGGTTCTATTTATACCATATTGGTACAGACAACAATACATGAGTTTCTAGTTTCATTTGATTTCAATGTTTTAGAATTTTTCTAAATTTCTAATGAAACTGTATTGGAAATGTGCGACAGTACTGAGTGCGAAAGGTCTAAGCGCGAGCTGTATGTACGATGACGTCACACACGTCGATTGGAATCTTTTAAATATTAGACGTTTCCAGACGTATCGAAAAAATTCTTACCGATTTATTGGTTTAAGCTGAAAAATATTTTCTAAGCTATTAATATAAAGCAGTTTAGAAGCAATTTTTCACTTTTAAAACATTGTGTGAATTAATATAGGTAACATTTAAACATCCTGCGATTATTCACCACTCCACCACCACTGGTACCCTAGTACCAGAAAGTGGAATAAATTACGCAATTAATCTCAGTAACCACGAAGTAGGTATTTTAAAGCTCTAACTACTCCAATCGTATATTTCATTGCAACAAGTCTCCAATCTAATATTCTAATCAAATCAAATCATTTATTGGCCATATAACTCAGAAAGTGAGACTCTGAAAGTCTTTTACCATAAACATTTCAAATTAAATACAAAGGTCTAAATCGTGTAACTTGACTAGTTCGCACTTATAGTCAAGTTGAGCCTCAACTTGACTATAAGTCCTCAACTGTTGAGGTATTCTTAGTAGATAAGTGTTGCAGTTTAGGAAAATTATTAAATAATATCTCAATGATGATAAAAAGCACGCGACTTGGACCATGATTACTGTAATGTGCAATAGCTATAAGACCGCCCAAACTACTAACTAGACTACATAATATGTTAATATGTAATAATTAAAAAAAAGTTAAAAAAATGAGTTATTAAAGTGCTATATTTTAAATGAATATACTTGTAGCGCTGTTACCGGAGGACTAAGATCAGCTCAGGCGCTTGCGGTACGCCACATTATTTTTTTCTATAAATATTTACTCCATCTAGACTAATATGTATACTTCTAAACAAGCTGTTCAATACTCGAAAATAACTCTATAAATTGTGTAACACAACTAAGTACGTCATAATCATTTCAAAATCGTGTAGAAGAAGAGTGTAGCGCTACGCTGCTGTACTGCCGGACACCGTGGTCAATCAGTCAATCAGCGTTATACTCGAAATTGTGGTCGTCATCATCACTTATGGTGTGGAACTGAAAATGCCAGTTATACCATCTGCAGTTTCATTTGTAATCATTTATGTAGGAACCATGTATTTCTGTGAGTAGGCATCTAACATCATAGATATAAAATGTTTTTCGGTACCTAACATGAAGGAACACTGTTAGGTAGAGCTTAGATTAGTTATTATAATTTATTAATTTTACAAATGGTAGGCATAACGCCATTGGGCATTTTTTACCAGTCAACTGCAAGTTATGTAATAGAGGTTTTAATAGGGTGGTGCAACAAAAATCAAATATTTACCTACAATCTATACAGATGAATGAGATAGCAAAAAAAAATGGTGTAAGAATATAATTATAATAAAAAAAAACTTATTTTCATTGTATAGTTTATCTTCAGTATCTGTAATTTAAACACAAATGTAAATTTCATTAAAGGGTTTGACATAAATTATATTTCATGGCATAATTACATAGTAATCTCTCTTTTTATAATTATTTGTTGGTAGGCCAACATCTAATGTACATAATTTTGGGTATAATTTCTAAAACCAGTTCATGATGTTAGTTATTAAATGTAATTAGTTATTGATTTTTGTTATTAAATCGTAATTAAAAAGCAATGTAGATCTTTAGAATACCTATATTGGTAACTATACATTAGTGTAATGATTACTCAACTATACATTAGGCACTCGCATACATACTATTATTGCTAATATTATATATTACAACATATGTAACTCAAACACCAAACAGCTTATTATATGATGTCACTGCTGACAAAATTATTACATTTAAAGGTACGCTTAGAACTTTGCATCTAATATGAAAGAATTGAGTATTCTAATAACAATAAAATCCATAGAAATAAAAGAAAATTACTGATATGACTGTCATTATCCAATCCTAAAGCTGCAGTGCAGAAAATTATAATGACCTTGAATATTTTAAATTAAAATCTAGACAGCTTACGGTCTCCATGTAAACAAAACATAATGAGAGTAGCTAAATTCTTAGCAAAAGCAGTGAGTGATAAGCTTAATTAAATTTGTCTTGCATTCTAAACATGCATAGTAGTAAATATTCTTCCTCATATTCAATATGATAAGTGACTGCTGTATTTCTTTAAAAATGAGAATGCTAGGTTATATTTTATGACGATTTTATTATAACTGTAAAAACCTTAATACATAATGTACTGCCAAAGATAAATATAAGTATTAAAACTACAACAGGCTTATTCAAGATCTGGTAGATTTTCATCATCAGAGTCACTTTCTAAATCATCAAAAGAAGGTTTATCAGCCTTGTCACCGGCACCCGCGCCGGCACCGCCTCCCATCGACCGCAGCAACTCTTCTAACCCATAGTTATCGTTACCACCACCACCATTTTCGTCTTCATCATCCTCATCTCTCCACTTGTTGAAGTCCACCTTTAAATAATGTGGTTTTTTCTTGTCTTTCGTTAAGTTTGGCCAGTATGGTGCGTCCTTTTTTTCTTTGCGTAGCACCATTTCTATGCATCGGCCTTTATTTACGAATCCGCTATTTTCAGGAAGCACAGCATCGTATAATGGTATGGTCACTTCGAGAACTTTCTTGTCTTGGGCATTGACACCTCTAAAATGAACTGAATCCTTTTCTATTTTAATTGTCGGTTCTTTACACTCCACGCTAAATGTGAGGAATATGTCCTCTTTGCGTTGAGCCCATAAAACTGGAGGTGGAATAGGAGATTCGACTGACATGCTTAATATTTGCTAAAACGTTCAACTCACCACGATAAGTAATTGATCAAACGAGGTTTTCAATAAAATTATTTTACTCCGTAAATCACGTTGTACTTTAGCTACTCATTCATTCATAGACTGCCTGCCTGCTGCAAAGAGTATAAAGTAATGGTGTGCGGAACGATTATCTATTATTCGATTTTTCAAATAATCAGTTGCTATCGATTATGATTTCCTATTCGACTATTAACCATCTATTATTTTTTAAAACAGTAATAGGATTAGTTTAAAACGTTAGTATAGTTAGTACCTACTTACTTTACTTCGGTGGCTTGGCAACCCTTAGCGGATCGCGAGTGTGAATATTATTAGTAGATATTCTATTACTTATTATAGCAACCCTGGAATACTCCCACGAACAAATAGGTAACTTTACTCTTTGATCTGGGAACTCCCGATGAATGAGCGAACGGATCATACAGTTTTATTTTAACAAATACAAATTAACCGTTTCTTACTAAATGCACATGTAAGTATAGACAGTACATATCTATACCAAAATAATATTTTTTACATTTTTTGTGTCCGTTTGTTACGGCTAAACTCAGAAACGGTTAGAAAAATTTTGACGGGTGTTTCATGGCAGATAGCTTATGTAATCATCATAAGGAATGAAGATGTATTTTAAAAAAAACGAAAGCACTAAAAAAGCACCTCCACTAGATGGCGACTCTAACAAAAGTTGATTTTTGCAGGAAATGAATGGACCAAAGACAGTCATTTCCGTTCCTTTTAACTAACATATTAAAAAACTGAATTTGAAAAGTTCTTAACTTAGATATCAATACAAATACGAAAAAGTACAAGTAGAATACGAATGGTTTGAGTTTTGAAAATTAATTTACTTTTATACACGAAAGAAAACCGGAAGGGTTGTCATGGAGAAATCAAGAACGTACCGTAGCGACATCTTGTTTGATTTCGGGAACTACTTCCTCATTGATTTTTATATGTATAAAAGGTAGGGAAACAGGAAAGGGACTCGGATATTTATAGAAACGGGTAGCTGTTCTAGAATTTTTTGGTAATGCCTTTAATGTTCTATGTCTTAATCTGTGATGGGGTCGATGCTTAGGCAAATGAATATAAGGTTGACTAAGCTTGAACTTAAGAAAGTAAACTTGAGTTAATAAATGGTAAACAAAAAAAAACTTCGGGTTTGATAAATAATTTTTGATAAAGTTTACATTCTTTTTTACAACAAATTGGTATTGATTAAAATTAAGAATGTATAATGTTTTTAACTCGACAAATTTACACGAACTGAGATTCATAAAGAGCATATTGCATTACTCAAAATTTCAAATTATGAAAAGTGAATAATAAAAATAAATGTTGAAGATCAAAGACAAAATGTTTGCAAGCGGAAACCTAGGACGAAATAAACGGTGGTACAAATACCGTTACAAACCTAGAACATTCCAGATGTGGTATCGGCCCCTATAAATACGTGGAGGCCTACTCGTGTCAGCATTCTTCAATGAACAAGTGATCTGAAAGCAAAAGCGATCGGAAGCGAAACTCGAAACGATAAATAACTAGAGCGGTGAACGATCTAATAGTGTTGTGAAGCGTTATTAGTCACGTCACTAATAATGTTATTTTATTGCGTAAATAAAGTCTTATTGTGTACGATTGGCGTTAGTTTTCATACGACTTAGGGCGTAATAATATAAAAAATATATAATGTGTTATGATAAGTAAAAAATATATAAGAACTATTTATTAATACGTAGGCGGGATGATAAATAGCTAGCCTAACCCATATTTTTTATAATAACGATATAAAATCTATTTAGTATTTTACTCAATGGTTCATTAGAGTTTGGCAAGCGAAACGTGACACCACCTATTTTTCCGTTTTCATATGGCAACAACATAGAACTGTCAGTTTGACACTACGTTAGACAATTCAAGAATATTGAATTTTGTTGTTTTTGCGAATTTGAACTTGTGTTTTTGGTTAAAAATTATGTCGAAGCCGATAAAAAGTTCATCGAGGAAACTTCTTTCCATCATGATTGACAAGTTTACTGAAGTGAAAACTGAATTAAATAAAAATTTCATGGAGAAATTACAACGATTAGATAAAGTTGTATCTTTTTTAGGTTAGTTTTGTATTATAATTTTGATACTTTCGTTTTAATTTTCTGTAATTAACTAAACAGATATTTTTTATAAAATATTGCTCTATTTCAGATAACTGTGATGGTGATATTCAACCAATAATGGAGGAGATAAATGCAATAAAAACTTTAGAAAAACAAGAAATGCTGAATTCGGAAACGCAGTACTTACAAAAAATTTCTTCAATGACAGGTCTCTTTTCTTGTTTTGATTTAAGATAGATTGATAGTATTCCTATAATATTTACATAGGTTTTTTATGATGTATTGGTTTTTATTGTTGACATCCAATGATGTCATAAGAATGTTTTGTTTAACAAGGAAATTCACAGAATTCATGAAACTAATCAAACCATGTAATTGTTATACATGCTAAATATGCACATAAACTTAACTAAATTAAACATAAATTGCATTCATAGTTGAATAGGTATTTAAATTATTTTGATGTATGTGTCTATCATTATTTGCTTTTAAATACATTTAACATATCTTTGTTTCAAAGTGTTTAATCTTTTATAGATGTAAGTATAAGGACACTAAGAAGGATAAAAAATGAAGCATTAATTAATAAAGGAAAATGGGACACTCCTGGGAAAAAACGACCTCATCAACCAACAGTGTCTGCTTTAGATAATTTTGATTTAAGTGCAATTCGGAATAAAGTAAATGAATTTTACTGTGTGAAAAAAATTGTTCCAACATTAAGAAGCCTTCACAATGAATTAAAAGATGCAATAGGATTCAGTGGTAGCCGTGAGACTTTACGAAAAATTATGCTTAAGAATGGATTTTCTTTTAAAAGCAATGAAAATGAACGTTCTATGCTTATAGAAAAATACCAGATTTCTGCTTGGAGGCACAAGTATTTGAGAGAAATAAATATAAAACGAAACGAAGGAAAGCAAATTGTGTACCTTGATGAAACTTATGTACATCAGAATTATAAAGTTAAAAAGTCTTGGCAAGGACCTTCAACAACTGGTGTCACTACAAAGATATCCTCTGGAAAACGGCATATTGTTGTGCATGCTGGATCTGAGGAAGGTTTTGTGCCTGGTGCATTATTAGTGTTCAGTAGTAAATCCAAATCTGCTGATTATCATGATGATATGAACTCATCGAACTTTATGAAATGGGTCAGAGAAAAATTAATACCAAATTTAAGTAAGCCCAGTGTAATTGTTATGGATAATGCCAGCTACCATATAAAACAAATCAATAAACCGCCTATAATGTCTAATACCAAAGCAGATATCCGTAAATGGCTTGTAAATAATGGAATACATTTTGAGGAATATCAGACAAAGGCAGAGTTAATGTGTTTGGTTAATGATAAGAAAACATTGCCTGTATATGAAGCTGAAGAGATTTTAAAAGAACATAATCACGAACTTTTATTGCTGCCACCGTATCATTGTGACTTAAACCCAATAGAGATGGTTTGGAGTCAAGCAAAAAGAAAAATTGCAAGCAGAAACATTGGAATACCAGGAAAGGAAATGGAAAACTTAATAATAGAGTGTTTTAACTTAATTACCCCTAGTGACTGGAAGAAATACACTGATCATGTTTTAAATGTCGAAAATGATTACAAATTAAAAGATGGCATTGTTGAAAACGAACTTGAAAAATTTATTATATCTGTTGGTGCAGACAGTAGTGAAGAGAGTGACTCTGATGATTCCTTGTCATTGTTATCAGGTGTAGAATATTTAGAAACAGATTTTGACTATGAATCAGACTAAAGTATTTTTAGTCTGATTCATAGTCAAAATCTTATCTTAAATTTTCTATTGTGATTAACATGATGATTTTGTGACACCTGTATTATGTAATTTATCCATGGCACTTAATTGTAACAAAAATAAATGTTATTTTTATTGTAATCTGGTGTTTATATTGACTAATTTAATTTGATAGATAGTGGTTCTGGATCAGAGCAAAAGGTTGTGATGAAAATCCCTTAGGAGACATGTATGTGTTATGAACACATTATAAATATAAGGGCCAGAAATCAAAATTGGCTAACATCACATTTATTAAAAAAATGTGGCCAGAGTCGCCCATATTCATTACAAAAAAACAAAGAAGTCGTTGCAAAAAACACCCTTTTAATTAATGACAAATATGAATTTTTAATATTATAAGTGCTGTTAGCCAATAGGTATAACGAATGGGTTAAAAAAAAGATTCGATTTAGTCCGTCAGTCAGATAATAGAAAAATATTGGATACGTATTTTTTTTCGCTTTAATTTAACAACAAATGGCTTAAGAGGTACTATGCGACGACTTCAAATATGCTTTGCAACAATGTTACTTTAATACAGTTTATCGATACGAAATCAAGTGTCAAAATGGAGTCCAGTGGAGAATGCCGATATTGACATTTCGAAATTGCTCATCATTGATAGAGAATACGAAATAGTGATTTTGACACAATCAAAGTGTCTATTTTTTACGGTGATGACGATTCTTGGTTGTCAGTTGAGTTAGTGAATAGGCCTACTGATATGCTGTTAACTGTACAGTTAAGAACAGTCACGCTTTAGTCAAATGTTCCAAAACAAATAATTTTAATTGATATCTAAATGTTAAGATTAAATATAATTAATAAAAGTATCAAAATTATTTTGCAGTACTACATTCAGTGTTTACTGCTTAAGAATTTTTGAAATTGCCGCCCTTTTCTTGTGACACGTTTCGCTTGCCAGACTCTAGCTGCCGGTGTTCCAAATTTCAAATCGATCGTATAGTAATTTTTCTTTTAAATATTGACATTTCAAAAAGCATTCTTTTGTTTTTTCTGCAAAATGGATAAAATTGAGCTACGAGCTGTGATTGCATTAGGTGGACAAAGATTTGAAAATAATAGCGAGGTGATGTCTGCCTTGGACAGTTATTTTGAATCGACCTCCAATTTTTTTTTATCCACTTTTTGTTTCGATTTTAT